CCCATTTTACCATGTTTCCCCCCCCGATGGGTCCGCTTCGGCTCAGCGACACGGACTCCACGATGTCCAGTGAGTCGGCGCCCAGCTCAGACAGCGTGGCCTGGCAGCATTCCGCCGGTGCCCCGGTGAGGGGCTGCAAGGTCCACACATGTCGAAGATCCAAGACGAATTCACATCTTGCCACTCTTTTAGATGAGTTTGGAAGGGCTCTAGTTTGGACAAAACCTATTTTCCTGCTCATCTTTCATTGAGTTGGAATAAGCGCTTCCATGAAGCGGCCACAGCCCTCCCACATGCACCTCCCGGGTGACCTTATCCTTATCCACGCCCAGTTGCTCAGCGATCACTTCCGCAACCTGATGAGTTGTTGGTTGCTAAGACCGAAAAAAAAGGAAAGGGACCGCAAGTAAGAGGTCACCCGACCTCAGTCAGCTACTCACGTCACACGAACAAGAAGCCGGATACTACCCACCATCAGGTCATGCTGGTAGCTGTTTTCAAGTAGTCTCAGCATCTGAGATGTGGCTAGAAATGTTTTGGTGGTGTCACCAATAAACCCTTCCTAAGACCTTCCCTTGCAATCTAGGGTTAGTTGTCGCTGTTTAGCAGGGGCACGCGGCACCCACAACCTACCGTGTGCAAAGAAGCTATATGCGATTATATACCGGATATCCGGCCCGCTCAGCCAGTATCTGCTTGGATGATGACTTTTACTTCCTACTGGGCCCTGCTTTTAGCTAGGACAAGATGAAGGGTCCTCGCAACGGTTGCGCAGTCTGCAAACGTGCACTTGCACCAATCTTGTTTTAGATGTGTGATTTCCTTCGCTGCACTACTTACCTGGTTCTTAAGGCCACCTATAGTTGCTTTGGTCTTCAGGGACATCCGGCACTGGATCGCAATGCGACGAATGTACATTTTTCCTCACCCAAACCCAACAAAAGAGGCCAATTTCTGATTGCTTGTCAGAGAGATAGAAGCTTTCCAGAAGGCAAATACTGATTTCAATATAATGGAGCATCTGCCATGTCATGGCTTCAATGTATGGTCTCTGAAGGTCATGAGATGGTCTCTATATATAATTGCATCTTCACTTGTGAAGTCACCCAGCCTTGCCCATGGTGTCATCTGTCGCTGTTGCCTTGCCGCAAAAAAAACGTCGAACTGGACGGCAAAATTACCTTCAAGAAGCTGGGACCTAGGACTAACTAGGTCTCCTAGGTTTGTCTTCCGTTCTACTCTGCTTCACATGTAGTCTTGCAACAAATTGTGCCTTGCGAAAGACGGTCACGGAGCGGTTCACTCGTGCAGTAGGCACCCCCGGTGTGACGAAGGTCAGCACCCTGGGCGATTGGGGACTTTCACTCAGCAACTGGATTTGGGTGCTGCGTGGAGGCCAAATGAGTTGCGCACTTCCAACTTTCTCGACCAGCACGATTCAACACGACTCGTTCGGTTCACCCAAAACGCCTTTCGTTTCTTCATCGCACCAAGGAGCTGGAGAAGGGCTGCGCCGAGCAAAAGGACTGCCAGAGTTGATGAGCGGGCCATGGCCTCCAAACTTCGTTGCAAAAATGTCTATTCACTAAGTTGGCTTAAAACACATATATATATATATATATGTACTTGCAAAAAGTTATATATATATATATACATTTTCTGTGCCAGGGTGCGCTACGCGAACCAGTGGCGCAAATCCTTTGACTTGTCGACCAAACACCTCCTCCGGGGCTTGTCAATGAGCTCCAGCACTCCATCATGGAACCTAGTCTTGGCTCCGCACCTCGAGCACTCTGCCGTCGAGCCCCTCCTGGGGGCGGCGCCTCATCCGCGCACACGGATTTGATTCATCTGCGCACACACATTTTGTCAGCACTTGCGCCTCATCTGCGCACACACTTGTTGACTCAAGCGCGCACACACCCCATCGGGGGGACTCAAGTGCGCACACAGGCCCTTTCCCGAATCTTGCTGCGTGTTCCAAATTTCACCCCTGCATCGCTCACTGAACAGGGTCATCAAGATGGAATGGCCACTTCCTTCTCTAAATTTTACCCTCCAGTGGCTCACCAAAGGGTGAGTCAACTTGGAACGACCACTTCCTTCTCTAAATTTTACCCTCGGGTGGCTGACCAAAGGGTGAATCAACTTGGAAGGATAACATCCTTCTCTAAATTCTACCCCTGCATGGCCCACAAAAGGGTGAGTCAAGTTGAAATGACAACATCATTCTCTAAATTTTACCCCTGCGTGGCCCACAAAAGGGTGAGTCAACTTGGCGTGGCCACTTCCCTCTCTAAATTTTAGACCTGCATTGCCCACAAAAGGGTGAGTCAAGTTGGAGTGACCACTTCCTTCTTTATATTTTACCCTGCCCACAAAAGGGTGAGTCAAGTTCAAATGGCAACATCCTTCTCTAAATTTACCCTCGGGTGCCTCACCAAAGGGTGAGTCAACTTGGAAGGGCAACATCCTTCTCTAAATTTTACCCCTGCATGGCCCACAAAAGGGTGGGTCAAGTTGGAAGGGCCATTTCCTTCTCTAAATTTTTCCCCTCCATTGACCCAGAAAGGGTGAGTCAAGTTGAAATGGCAACATCCTTCTCTAAATTTTACCACTACCTACCACTACCTACCCTACACAAGAACATCGGAATAAGAATTGCTGTTGCTCTACACAAAAAGCCTGCTCGTCTCTGTATTTGAGATTTCGCACGTACTTGGACACAGCGGCTTCCGACGGAGTGTTCTCTTGCAACTTTCAGGTCATCAGCTCCTGCAAATGCAAAACATCGCTGCTAAAGCACAGAATCACAATGATGGAGGATGATGGAGGACACCTCTTAAAACGAAAACAATGTTCCCCTGCCATTGCCTGTCCTGCAACAGTTGCTCGATCCGAAAATCACGCGCACGCAGAACATAGGCCTTCACTGCAGCCTTCGTCCTCTCTGTCAAAGGACTCGATGAAGATGCACGCTTGTCCACCCTGTAAGGCTGCGTCACTGCAAACACAAGCTTTTGAATTGAGCTTACCTCAAACATCCGTTTGAAAATAGCGTGGTCAAAAAATGAAAAATTCAGCGTCCAAGGAACCGAGCACGGTCAGCGTGCATCGACGTCGGCGTCGCTCTCAAAACCAGCTTTCTAGCAGGGACATCATACGTAGCAACGCATGCCGGCGACAGCCCTGGCTGCACTCCCGACAAGAGAAGCGAATGTACATCTGGGTCACCTTGCGCTGCCAATTGTTCAAAGTGCGCGCGACTCCGCAATCCACCAAATTTCTCACCTCCTGCAACAACTGAATCGAATTCCAAGTGCGCCTTCTCACAGGTCACAGTCAGTGCTGCCTGCCGCTGGGCGGCAGGCTTCTTCAAAACACCCGCAGACGCAGGCTTGCGTCGAGAAAGCTTCGGAGCCATGTCCAAGCTTCGGCGCCATGGATAGAAGAAAACACGTCAGAATGTCGATTTTGGACACAGCTTTCAATGTGTTTTCCTTCCAAGACTTTAAGATTGCAGTGGATAGATGTGATGAGATGTCTCTCATGAGCATGAGATGTCTCTTCCTAATGTACTCAGGCTGGACCTTGGCGGACGCTTTTACTGGACTCTTCGGATCCAACATTGCCGGGGCAAGTTGCGTTTCTTTTGGAAACGTTTTGTTGTTAAACGACGACTCCTCTTCTTGCACCACAGTCCCCAAAAGCGTCCCTGAACCTTGGGCCCGAAAAACCGGCGGATAAAAACACTCAGACCATCAGAAAACAAAGTACCTCGGTACCCAATCAACCAGTGAAACGCACGCAAAGGCACAGACATGAGAACACATAAACAAAAAAGATACTTTGTTGAGGGAATGGGTGACGACTGTGTGACAACCTCAGCGAAGGCATGAGTGACTAAGTCAGCAAAGAAAGAAGCAAGTAAGTGGCCAGGTGAAAGTGAGTGAATGAATGAATGAAGGAAGGAAGGAAGGAAGGAAGGACTGACTGACTGACTGAGTGAGTGAGTGAGTGAGCGAGCGAGTGAGTGAGTGAGTCTTTGAGTGAGTCAGTGCGTGAGTGAGTGAATGAGTGAGTGAGAGGGAGGGAGGGAGGGAGGGAGGGGTAAGTTGGGGCCTGATCGAATACACCACGTAAGACCCTCTCACGATGCAAGCGTGCGAGTAACACGAGCTTCAAAGTCTTGAGCCAAATCAATTATAACTACGGACAACAGGCGCTACACACGTATAGCGTGGACACGCCTAGGGGAACCTAGGACCCTACAAAACACAGACGGAGGGGGGAGGAGGGAGGGAGGGAGACAGGGACGGAGGAAGTGAGTGAGTGAGGGAATGAGTAAGTCATGTCACTGTGGCCGCTTCCAATGCTCTCCACACCGTCGGCAAACATACAGTAGCCTTCTCTGGCCCGGTCATCCCAGATCCAATTGGAGCAGTCACCAGCGCAGCACACTTGGTGGGTCCTGCATGGTTTGGATCGCCAGCTTGGTGTCATGGTCCGGGATGTCAAGGCCGTCGTCGAGGCCACCCGTGTGGTAGACAGGGACCCGCGAAGAACACGTGAAAGGCCCAGCACAAGGACTTGAGCCACCTGAGTCCTCGAGCCAAAACCTTGAGCCACATATTAATATTAATATACTATATATATATATATTATATATATATATATAATGTACATATCCCCATCGCCCAGTTTTCTCGCGGACGCTAAAACACAGTTTGCAAAACTTTCGGACCTGGCCCGAAAGAACAGCAGTATTGCGCAAAGTGATCCCGTTGGTGACCTTGTGCGCAGTGTTGGAGCAGAGGGACACCGTGGAAGCCGTGGAGCCAAGACGCTGCGGTTTGGCCAAGCGACATCATCGTGGGCGGCTCGTCTGGTCAGGTCAACTGGAAATCGTTGGCGACATGGCACCGTCTCTGGCTACAAGCAAACCATTTCGGCCTGTCTTCTTCAAGTGTCACAACCACAACAAACTCTAGGGGCTGCACTCTTCAGGAGCCACCTGACTTCAATCTGATGGAGAGCAAGCCAAGATTTAACACAACGCACCTCATGCAAAATAGCACCAATGTTACAAGTCTCAACAAAAATGCTAAATGGAATGCCAAGATGAAAGTCTGTCACCCAAACCAACAGTCGGAAACAAAAATTCAAGAGAACTCCACTTTCCTCCTTCCGACCGCCTACATGGAGTGATCTTTGGCTGTCCTCTTGGGCTGTCCCGGTTGGTGAAAGTAATCTTTGTAATCTTTGGGTTAGACCATCAAAAAAATTGGAAGGAAAAAGAGGAATCCAGGTTGGCGGTCCACCTTTCAGTGCCTATAGTCTGTGTCACCACCCGCTTCTCAGCACCTTCTCTTCTTTAGCTGCTGAGCGTGGCCTCGTAGGGGAACAAAATGGCACTGATCAGGACAAATGAAAAGAATCACAAAATATATACAAGCATAGACCCCAAACAGCTTCAAAACGATTCGTTTAAACCAAAACTAGTCAAAGCCCTACTTTCACCCCAAGAGCAAACTGCTTCATCAATGAATTTTTGTCTGCATTGACATCGCTATTTGTTCGGCCACACTCCTCTCCAGTAAGCCGGGCCACAGAGACCAGCCAAGTTCAGGGGCGCGGCCAAGACAAGGACAAGAGGAGGACAAGACACCGACACAGAGCCCAGCCACAGAGCTCAGGGGCGCGGCCAAGACAAGGACAAGAGGAGGACAAGAAGAGGACAAGGCCCAGCCACAGAGCCCAGCAGAGACGACAAGAGGAGGACAAGAGCCCAGTAAGCCGTCCATAGCACACGAGCGCGCGCCCTGTTCTCTTTCTCTTTTCTCTCTCTCTTTCTTTCTTCCTTTCTTTCTTTCTTCCTTTCTTTCTTTCTTTCTTTCTTTTCTTTTCTTTTCTTTTCATTTCTTTTCTTTCTTTCTTTCTTTTTGTCTTCTTCTTTTCTGTTCTGTTCTTTTCTTTTCTTTCCTTTCTTTCCTTTCTTGTCTTTTCTTTTCTTTTCTCTCTTTCTCTTTCTTCCTCTTTCTTTCTCTTTCTTTCTCTTTCTTTCTCTTTCTTTCTCTTTTCTTTCTCTTTCTTTCTCTTTCTTTCTCTTTCTTTCTCTTTCTTTCCTCTTTCTTTCTTTCTTTTCTTTTCTGTTCTTTTCTTTCCTTTTTCTTTCTGTCTCTCTCTCTCTCTCTCTATCCCTCTCTCTCTCCCTCTCTCTTTCTCTTTAAGTTTCTCTTTCTCTGTCTTTCTCTCTGCAGAGCGCTGTAAGCGCGCCTTTCTGGAACTTGAGCGCGCCGTCTATAGCACACGAGCGCGCGCGCGCGCGCTCGCCCTGCTGTCTTTCTTTCTTTCTTTCTTTTCTTGTCTTTTCTTGTCTTTTCCTTTCCTTTCCGTTCCGTTCCGTTCCTTTCCTTTCCTTTCTTGTCTGTCTGTCTGTCTGCCTTTCTTTCTTTCTGTCTTTCTTTCTTTCTTTCCTTCCTTCCTTCGTTCGTTCTTTCTTTCTTTCTTTTCTTTCTTTCTTTCTTTCTTTCTTTCTGTCTCTCTCTCTCTCTTTTCCCTTTATATTTCTCTTTCTCTGTCTTTCTCTCTGCAGAGCGCGCTGCGACCGCGCCTTTCTGGAGCGTATTTCAAATTGCGCCAGAGCGCGCCGTCCAAAGCACACGACCGCGCGGGCTCGCCCTGCTGTCTTTCTCTCTCTCTCTCTCTCTCATAGTTTCTCTTTCTCTGTCTTTCTCTCTGCAGGGCGCGCCCTGAGCGCGCCTTTCTGGAGCGAATTTTCAGAGCGCGCACGAGCGCGCCGTCCATAGCACACGAGCGCGCGCGCTCGCCCAGGTGTCTTTCATTCTTTTCTTTCTTTCTTTCTTGCTCTCTCAATCTCTCTCCCTCTCTCTCTTGAAGAGCGCGCCCTGAGCGCGCCTTTCTGGAGCGTATTTTCAGAGCGCGCGCGAGCGCGCCGTCCATAGCACACGAGCGCGCGCGCTCGCCCAGGTGTCTTTCATTCTTTTCTTTCTTTCTTTCTTGCTCTCTCAATCTCTCTCCCTCTCTCTCTTGAAGAGCGCGCCCTGAGCGCGCCTTTCTGGAGCGTATTTCAAAGCGCACGAGCGCGCCGTCCATAGCACGCGCGCGCGCCCTGCTCTCTATCTCTCTCTCTCTCTCTCTGTCTTTCGTTCTTTCTTTCTTTCTTTTTTTTTCTTTCTTTCTTTTCTTTTTTTCTTTCTTTCTGTCTGTCTGTCTGTCTGTCTTTCTTTCTATCTTTCTATCTGTCTTTCTTTCTGTTATATTGTTTCTTTCTTTCATTCATTCATTCATTCATTCAAACATTCATTCTTTCTTTTCTGTTCTGTTCTGTTCTGTTCTTTTCTTTTCTTTTCTTTCTTTCTGTCTTTTCTTTTCTTTGCTTGTCTTTTCTTTTCTTTTCTTTTCTTTCTTTCTTTCTTTTCTTTCTTTTCTTTCTCCCTCTCTCTCATTCTCTTTAAGTGTTTCTCTGTCTTTCTCTCTGCACAGCGCGATCTGACCGCGCCTTTCTGGAGCGTGAGCGCGCCGTCCATAGCACACAAGCGCGCGCTCGCCCTGCTGTCTTTCTTTGTCTCTCTCTCTCTCTCTTTCGATTCAAGCTTCTCTTTCTCTGGCTTTCTCGCTGCTAAGCGCGCTCTGAGCGCGCCTTTCTGCAGCGTATGTCAGAGCGCGCCCGATCGCGCCGTCCAGAGCACCTGCTTTCTTTCTCTCTTTCTCTCCCTCTCTCTCTTGAAGAGCGCGCCCTGAGCGCGCCTTTCTGGAGCTTATTTCAGATCGCGCGTAAGCACGCCGTCTATAGCACACGAGAGCGCGCGCGCTCGCCCTGCTCTCTTTCTTCCTCTTTCTTTCTTTCTTTCTTTCTTTCCTTTCTTTCTTTCTTTCTTTCTTTTCTTTCTTTTCTTTTCTTTTCTTTTCTTTTCTTTTCTTTTCTTTTCTTTTCTTTTCTCTTCTTTTCTTTTCTTTTCTTTTCTTTTCGTTTCTTTTCTTTTCTTTTCTTTCTTTCTTTCTTTCTTTCTTTCTTTCTCTCTCTCTCTCTCTCTTTGTTTATCTATCTCTGTCTTTCTCTCTGTGGAGCGCGCTCTGAGCGCGCCTTTCTGGAACGTATGTCAGAGCGCAGGCGCCACAGAGCCCAGCCACAGAGTTGACAGAGTTCAGGGGCGCGGCCAAGAGGAGGACAAGAGGAGGACAGGGCCTGGACACAGAGCCCAGCCACAGCCCAGCCACAGAGTTGACAGAGTTCAGGGCGCGGCCAAGAGGACAAGAGGAGGGCAAGGCCTGGACACAGAGCCCTGACAGAGAGTTGACAGAGTTCAGGAGGACAAGGCCTGGACACAGAGCCCAGCCAGCCAAGAGGAGGACAAGAGGAGGACAAAGCCTGGATTCAGAGCCCTGAGAGATTTCAGGCGCGCGGCCAAGAGAAGGACAACAGGAGGGCAAGGCCTGGACACAGAGCCCGGCGCGGCCAAGAGGAGGACAAGGCCAGCTCAGCCACAGAGTTGACAGAGTTCAGGGGCGCGGCCAAGAGGAGGACAAGAGGAGGACAAGGCCTGGACACAGAGCCCAGCCACAGAGCCCAGCCAAGCTGACAGAGTTCAGGAGGACAAGGCCTGACAGAGCCCAGCCACAGAGCCCACCCAAAGAGTTGACAGAGTTCAGGAGGAAGGCCTGGACACAGAGCCCAGCCACAGAAGGGCAACAGGAGGGCAAGGCCTGGACACAGAGCCCGGCGCGGCCAAGAGGAGGACAAGGCCAGGACACAGAGCCCAGCCACAGAGCCCAGCCACAGAGTTGACAGAGTTCAGGGGCACGGTCAAAACGATGACAAGAGGAGGACAAGAGGAGGACAAGGCCCAGCCACAGAGCCCAGCCACAGAGTTGACAGAGCTCAGGGACGCGGCCAAGACGATGACAAGAGGAGGACAAGAGGAGGACAAGGCCCAGCCACAGAGCCCAGCCACAGAGTTCAGGGGCGCGGCCAGTGAGTGTGGCCAGCTCTATTTTTCTAAGATAGAACCCCAACAGTAAACTGTTTGGGGAAAAAAGTAACAATAGGACATGCCATCATGGCAAAGTAGGAAGTTGTGGCCGTCGTGGCACTGGAACCGTTGATTTTAAGCTGGTAACAAGGGCATCGCTGCTAGTAACATGATCATTACAGTAGCAGTAGCAAGAAGCTACTAGTATATAACAAGGGTTAATTTGAAGCGAGCAGAAATCCCGCAAGGAAAAGCCACGACACGAGTCCGCCTTCGCTTCTGGTCGAAGTGATCGAACTCGGCTTGTCGGACCTCTGGAGCGAGCTCCGACCCAGGAGACGCAACGTAAAATCCAGAACACCACAGTATCAGTATGAAACCTAGAGGGCCTAGAGACATCTTTGAGCCCCTGCCACTTGCGCAACTCATCCGGACCATCCACGCACGGTTCGCACCTTCATCTCCTGATCTAAATCCTCCTGGGAGACCTGGAAGGGTTGAGCTTTTTCGGTTTGGTCCCCAGAAATCACATTGATTTGTGAAACCGACAAAGGACAAATGCGTGCAACTGGACAGTTCTACCATGTTCTACCAATTCGTTTCTTGGGGGATATTACGAAAACAAAACAATCAACCTGCAAACGATGAAAAGCCCTTGATGAAGACACTGACAAGAGGCAAAAGGACAAAAACCTGAATGTGAATTGTGGTTCAAGTTGGTGCTTCCGGTCGTGGGGAACTTGGTGAGTGTACCAACAGTCCGGCGTCCATCAGGTTGTGACTTTTCGTTGAGAGCAGTCCTTGTTACAGCAAACAGCATTTTGAGATCCCAGGACCTTTCCACCAGCTTTATCTGTTGATCGCTCAAAAGTGCAAAACAATGTGGGTGTTCAGCACCTGGAGCCAGTCTTCTGGGTCATCCCTGTCCTCGGGCAACAAAATCAACAAGTCATCCAGCATGTGCTCAAAAGGTCACACCTCGAAAGACTTGATTCAACCGATGATAACGCAGCCACATCACATTGTCCATATCCTGAGCTCTTCACCCTCCAATGCGCCTCCAAATTCATGGCCTGATTGCCACCAAGAAGACATACATTCAGCTTTTGGGGGGAGGAGAAATTATTTCGGGAAAAGAGTTTGGGGAACAGTTGAATCGAAAACCGTTGGGAACCGTTTTGGGGAACCTGTGTCTAACCGGCTTGCGGTGTCCGCTTGTTGGCCGGGCCGTCTGCGTCGGCTTGGGTTGCCATCTTCTTCACCTCCCATAGCGGTCCCAGACGTCCCCAAAGAATGCTCTTCATTGACCTTTGCTCCCCTCCACATCAAAAACCAAGGAAGAAAAGAGGGAAATGGTTTCCTCCTCCCTGAGCTCTCTGACCTCAAGGGCTGGATCATGATATGCTCGGAGAAAAGCCTGGCCGACATGCTGAACTTTCAACCATTGAACTGAACGAGTTCCAAGCAGCCGAAGAGGCCACTCGTCCCAGATCCGAGTCATGTTTTCGGCACGGCTAGGTTTGGCGCAAACAGGTTCCACACCTCTCGAAAGTGCTCTCCAAGGTTGTCTTGCCTCAAACCAGGATGGACCATGCCAGGTTGAAGCAAATACTGCAAGGCTGAGTCACCAAGGACTTTACAAGTTCATGCCAAACGGTAGTTAACTAGCGCTTACATTCTCCGAAATGTGTCTGCACACCACCTTCTACCCCCCTGAGCTGAGGTGATCGGGCTGTGCATAGGCACGGCGTGAATGTGCGGACTGCAAGAGCCTTGCAAACAGAGGCACCAAGAACAAGTTCTGGGTGAAGCCCAATCACTCCAAATAACAGTATATATATTGTATTTTGTATATATACCATTATACATATACATTTGATCATGCCTCATCTGAATGAGTAGCTTCACAAATTACTCTTCATCCGGATGATGGTCGCGCTCTTCTCGCGAAGCACGACCAGTTAGGTTCTGGAGCTCCTGAGCACCACACTCGGGGCTCATGCGCTTGCGAAAATCAGGGTCAGACCTCAAAGCAATGTGGAAGTCCAAAGAAAAGAGGGACTTGAAGCTGCTACCAATTCTGATCTTAGTCCCACCCACTTCCTACCAGTACCTGGCTCAGTACCTTGCAATCATCTGAAGGGTTGACCCGATGATTATGCTTTGGGAATGGTAGAAAAGTTCGCCATGAGCGAAACTCCAGTTCGGCATTCAAAGCCCATGGTCCCCCACAACCAAGGAAGAGAATCCGGCACCTGCCACACCAATGTGTTGGTGGATCCACTTGCGTTGAAGAATGACAAATATATATATATATATATATATAACTGTCGTTGTCACTCCAGAGTTGCAACAGCTACAACAGTCACATGATGTGCACCCGAGCGGGAAGCAACTACTGAATAACTACTGTAACTTGTCTCATCAGGGTCATGGGGCAGCTGCAGTTCTGCCAGTGCAGGAGAAGGGTGAAGAACACAGCCCACCACACCTCCCGCCAGCGAAGGACCGCTGTGGCCTTGACAAATCTATGATCAAAGAAGCATCAGTCTAGGAGTCTAGCAAACACTCTTTCTACTGGGTACACCGTTGAGATACACTGAGTTTGTCCAATGCCCACAAAGACACCTGAATTATGCAACTTGTCTTCCCTACACTGTGTTGATATGCTGGTTCACAAGCTTGATTCTTTTCCCCTTAGATCCTGATTCTATCAAGCGGATGTCATCATGATGGGCAAATGTACAGTACCCATTGTCTAGCTAAAGGCTGGGATGAAAAATGGCGAGCAAACCCGCCAGGAAAAGCAACCAGACTTTGCCCACAAATGCAAACCCTCTGAAGCTATGCAGTCGGACACTCTGCGTGCCCTGCAAGTAGGCAGCTTCAAGACCTCTGAGAACGTGGAAAGCCAAAGAAGCTAAAAGAACACAAAAGAACCAGGTTTGGGGAATCCTCGTGCGTGTTGTGTAGGTGAGTTTCAACACGTGATTCCTCCAGTAACACCTATCCCTGACCCCAGCCCCTTTCTAGTCCAAGAGTCTAGTACACAGGCCGACAGGCGGCTTTTCTCGCTCAAATGGACAGTGTTCCATCCAGACCAAAGGACGCTACTAGTAACAAGTGCATCATTACTACTAGTAACAAGATGCTACTGACTGGTAGCAAGGACGCTTGCTCAGTGTTTCCTCTCCAACCTTTCTGGGTCCCAAACCTGCACATAGCATGGCTCCCAGCTGCATGGCCTTCTCACTGGGCTCCTTCACACCCTTTGGCCTAAGGCTAAGGGGCCCAAACGAGCATGGTCAACAACCCTTTTCGAGGCCGCACTCTCAAAAGGTCCCAATCAGCAGTCAATCCAAACTGAAGATTAAAGTCTAGTCAAACTGACACTGGCACGGAAAATCCAACTGTCCAAGATAAGCCAACCGGAAAAAATGAAAAAGTCTTGCTCGTCCCTGAGGGCCTCCATCCGGCCTGATGGGCCTGAGGGCCCGGCGACTTCCAGCGCTTCCGCGCGAAGCGTTGCGGCACTTGGCAGCGAAGACTCACGAGGCGAGCATACCTCGTGCGTGTTTGCAGCAAAAGAATCACCTCACAGTGTGGACAGTGAGTGCAGTGTTGACGTTCGTTCCATTTGTTGTCTGACCTGACTATCGACCGAACCCTTCGACACATCTAACTGGAATGTCCTCCGCCTGAGCACGCGGCTGAAGCCGAGTGAAACGCACTCCGATCTGCACAGTGTCCTCCCATGTCGAGATTATCAAGATCATGATTTAACAAATCACGCATACACACTCCTGCGTGCTCAGGATGTCTCCCATCAATTGCACACCTATTCATGACTCTGCTCAAGTGCTGTCCTCATCTTCCCCCAAAGCTTCGCAATCCAAATGCAGGGCAGACCTCAAGTTACTCGAGTCGAGATGGCCTCCAGTTTCTTTTTGAGGCTTTTGGATGGACTGCTGTTCCCTTGACCAACCAAAGCGAGGGAAAAAATCCATTGGGTTTCAAAGCTTCTGGCTGGTGGTCAGGCAAATCTCTTCTCAGTCTGAGAAGTTCGCGCCTCAGACAAACACTCTTGTAGTCTGAAAGCCACGCAAAAGTCCTACACAAACCGTTTCCATCAAAAATAGAATTAACTGACATCAACAAGGTGACAAACTAAATTGAACTGCTTGTGCCGGAGTTCGAATTGCGATTTCACAAGAGCCTTCGCAAGCTGTTCTTGCAAACAACTGAGGGCGCTGCGACGGTGGCGTGGGCAAGTGGTCCAAGATCACGGAGATTAACTGTGGCAACGCCTGAAGCGGGGAGATCGTGGGGCTAAGACAAAAAGAGAGAGAGAGAGAGAGAACGAGATGGTTCGTGAAGACGCATTCATGACGAGAAGAAACCGGTCAGTCCGATGATAATGAGCCTATGGTTTAGGGGTTTCCCATCTTCAAGTGCGTGGCAACTTACAAAACGGGTGAAATCGAGCTGAGGGAGCTCAGCCTTATTATCTGACTTCAAGGATCAGCGGAACCACCACTGCCTTCCAAGCATGTTCTTGGTTACCACGGGTCCGAATCCACCTTCCAAAACGCTCAAACTGACTGCCACTAAGCCACCAGTAGCAAACGTGCGACCTTCTTCGGCATCACTGCCCGAACAACCTGCGAGGCTACTCCCTCAAAGCCGTTAAAGTCCAAGCACAAACATTCATCGTTTGTTTGGTCGCGGCAAAGCGTGCCGGGCAAAGCGCTTGTGAGCGCATGTTCCGAGACTCGTAGCAGAAACGAAACGAACGGAACACAGGTCTTCGTCCCAAAGGGTTTGAATGTCTTCCTTGCCAACAGGATAGCATTGGGACGCAGCGGTCAAGCAATTGCAATGTTCTTTGAAGTACTGTAATAGCTTGGTCCCGGCAAAATGCGACCATCGGCTTGTAGAGGGAGCATACTTCATTTCTGCCAGTCGTGTTTCTGCAACTCTGTGAAGCAGAGTTGAAGGTCTTGAATGGTACAAGGTACGGTACGGCACGGCAACTGAGGATGCGTCGTGCCGTGAAAGCTCCAAAGCTCGCTTGGGATAGCCTGGACTTGTCGAAACCACCGGCCAACAAGATGCTTTCGAAGTCCCTTGCAAGGCACGAGTCGAAGGACCGGGGTACACCTTTGATTTTGCTCAACACAACGGGATATTGAGAGGAACTGTGGCACTGAATTCATTCGGTACGGTGGCATCCCCCTGCCTTCCAGCCGCTGTTGGATGGCCTTCTGCATCTTGCCTTCGGTCGTTCCAGGGTTGGAATCCCAACAGCACCATGCTCAGGTGGCGGATACACATAGACCTCACTACCAAACGTTTGCATAGAGGTCATGCGTCGTGGGGGCGTTGACCGCTTCTTCTTCGGAAAAGAGAACCAACCATGAGGCCCATGAGGTCCAATGTGAAAGTGCAGAAGCACAAGAGTTCTTCCCTGATGACGGCCCTGTCAACTGCCCATCATATCTGACCACAACAAACTGTCCGTGCAAGGTTGCACCGCTACTTCTGCCAGTGGTTTTAATCTCTACATGAGTCAAGGCTGTGGCAGCTGTCGGTTTGGTCAATTCTTGGTTACACAAGCTGGTTAGGAATGTTCGGTGGGTGAATGGTTGCTGGCCACTGCCAGAGTCATTGCACTGGTGTCCAAAAATACCTCTCAGCTGCCTCGGGCCACAGATTCCTCCCCAGCTTTCCGCAAGCGAGCAAGGCCCTGGCGCCAGTGAAACAATTTGGAGAGGCCAACATATCCCAACAGGGCATCTACGACTGAAATACAAATAGGTTTCAAATTGCAATTTGCAGGATGTTCGTACCAATAGTATATACGTTCTTCAAAGATAGATAGATAGATAGATAGATAGATAGATAGATAGATACAGTATACATAAGCATAGTCTACTCCTTTGTCAAATCGCACCCACAACACCCGAGAAATCCGGGCCCCCCCTTGGTTGAGGCCTCTTTCCGACCCAGCTCCGGTGCTTCACCGGCGCCCGGACGGGGCAAGAGGTGAAGCAAGCCTTTGCGAAGCCTCAGTCCGGAGTCTGCAACGGAGTCTGCAGTCTGTGGTGTGTGAATACAAACGACCTTCATGGACTTGGACTTCCACGCGAACCGAAGCTGGTCTAAGGCTTTTTCCAACTTGGCCTATATTTCACCTGACTCAAGTTGGTCGAGACTCTGAGCTCAGAGGAAGTGGGGCACCATGAAGGGCAACTGTTTGATCACCAAGCCCCTATAAGTTCGTTCTCCACTCTGGCATCAAGGGCCATACTCTGCGAAGAATGGATGGCCAAGGCTATATGATGCAGCTTGAACCTTGCAACCCATTGGGTCCAGGCCATCACTTAAAGGTTGGAGGCCATCGCTGCTAGGCTGGAGGTTGGAGGGTCTAAAATCCTCAATTTCAGGATCCAACAATCTCTGGGCGTCCATGCCAACAGCGGTTCTCCGCATTGCTGGGCGAGACCCAGCGAGGTGCTGCTAAGGCGGCCTGACCACAAGCACCCATAACGTGTACGGAAAACCAGCAGTAGAAACTCTTCCATGAAACCAGACCATAGCGGCCAAGCAGCCCTAAGGACTTGCCTGTCATAGGCACGACTTTCATCCCAAGTTTCATGGGTCACACACTTCGCTTGTGCGAAGAAAGTCGTAGAGGGAAGTGAAGGTTATCAAAAATGCCAAGGCAAACAGCGGCTTTGTTTAAGGACTTGTTCTCCTAACACATTTGGGTTGGCTACAAATGGTGTGGTATGGTAACTGCAAAGCAACTGTGTGGAAAAGGCAGTTGCGACCTTCGACCCCCAACTAGTACTCAGAAAGCACTCGGTAAGGAAGAAGCAAGGACATAGTCCTGATCTTTCACTAGCCATCACAGAAAGATGTGCAAAGGGCAGTGTTTGCAGAACATCCTCTAAGTGTAAGTGCACATTTTGATCATCGTCTGGCATTCTGGGTTCATTGGACAAAGCCTACATTTTTACAATCGTCGACTCTGTCTTCTACTCTGCCTTCATACAACACTTGACGTTTTTTTTCTTCAACACCGAAGAGGTTGGAGGACACGAAGCAGGGGGCTTTTCAGTTGATGTGCTTCTAAGACATTCCAAACAAAGCCCCAGGGTACCCAAAGAACTTTAGACTTTAGCGCCGCATTCTTGCATTGAAGCACAGGAAACAAAAACAATGTCTGAAATGAACTCTGTTGCCTTAACACAAAATAAGAATTGAGGGGATCGATAGGGTTGGGGCGAGTGGATGTGCTGACTCTGACGTGAATCCGCGATGGGTCCTATGCGGCCGCACGGGCCACCCAAACGGCTCCAGTCCTCGATGAGGAGCAACTCGCCATCCGCGTCCAGAACACGACACCTTGGGCGAAGAAACCCAGGCCGGTTGGATGTTGCAAAAGCAGCGAATTCTGAGCTGGAAGGTTCTTGGAAGAGCACTGAAGAGCACCTTGAATGTTGTGGTTCCAGAGATTCCGCCAACACTTTGTAGCAATTCTATTGGTGAACTTTAGCTGGTAAGCAAAATGTCAGCTATGCCTGCACAACGTGACAACTCACTGCTGAAGACGTTCGTCTTCGTGCCGTCTTCATCTGAGGCCGTCTGCGCGACATCTGGCCGAAGGAAGGTGAGTTGCTGCAGCAGGTGGACCACCTGGGACAGGTCACCGTCGAACACGAGCCGTGTTGGACCGGGAAACTCGGCCATCGAGCGACCTGGTCTGTAAGAAGTCTGAACTTAAGGCTTTTGTATAGAACAGTATGGCTTAGTCCATGACCCAAGCAGTTAGAGTTGACAACCAAATTATGTTGGCTCATCCCATGTGTCCAACTTTGTCTAGCAAAATGTCCGAGCCGTTGTTGTGTTGCAATGCTCTGGCTGCCCAGCAAACCATTCATCCTCTGTGCCATCACCTGTGTGCGTGGGGCTGTTGCTGCAGCGCGGTCCGCGCTTCACCAAATGGGTGACACGAAGACTGGGGGCACTGGAATAGAGTATATAGCTTTACTAACACTTTAATGTCCTTTTCGAAAGGCCTGGCAAACAGCTATCCCTGCCCTTCCTAACTGGCTGGAGCAAACTGTTTGAATTTGACAAGTGGTGCACGCTGGGTGGTCGAATCATTCCACAAACCCTCCCCCAGCAGTGGCACCTATCCGCAAGTGCCCTGCTAGATGCGGTTCCTCTTCCAAACAGAGCCTCAGAAAGGATTGTCAGGCTCTCATGAATAAAAGAATCTTGGGGTGTGTTCTGCTGCAAAAGAAAGGCACTCAGTTCCCCCACTCATATGAGTCTGTTAACAAGGTCAACTGTAAAGGTCACGCTTTGACAGTCTGTTGTTTCACCGTCGTATGATGTCGTACGTGCCGCTTCACACAGTCGTATGATGTCCTCCGAGGACATCTCTCCAAGATGAATCGATCTCGATGCCAAAGGTACCTGTAGAGGACGGGACAATCTTGAGACCCGTGCACCTGCAACCTCTGCAGCATTCCAGAAACTTGATTGACTTAGCTATATACAAATAATATGAAAGCTGAGCACCAAGCAAGGAAATCTGACATCTTTTAAGTCGCTACAAGCTGTGTAGTAACACCTTGGCTGCTACCTCCGGATTCAAGCATTTCTAGGCAAAGCTAGATGCTTGCAACTCAGCATCTGTACACCAGGAGCTTGCACCGCCGGCGAAAATTGAGCTTGAGACGACTCGTGGGCTGCGGAAGTCTTGCTCTCTCACTTCCACCATGGGTCGGTCTCTGTGCGGAAGTCTTGCTCGGTCCATGGCACCAAGGCCAAATTCCCCTTGAGCGTGCTCGTGTGTGCCAAGGCCAAGGACAAGGGAGCTGGGCCTCGCACAACCTTTCCATTCTCATCGTACTGGGACCCATGGCATGGACAGCAAAACTTGTTCTTGGCCTTGTCCCAAGGAACTACACAACCCAAATGTGTGCACACAGATAGCAAGGCAAAGTCCTTAATACCAGTCTCTGTGGAGATGAGGTAGTATGGCTCTCCCTTCAATCCTTGGACAAGTTCGCGGTCATTGTCCTTGTGCTTCCTCACCCAAGACTCGTAGCTGATCGGTTGCCCATCAATGTCTCCACAGAGTTCGGCACCTCCGGGACCCATCTGAACGGGAGGCACAAAGTACCAGAGGTAAGCACCTTAGCGATGCCCTTTGTTACTAGTAGCTGCTTGTTGCTAGTAGTAATGGCCTCCAACCTAATAGCGATGGCCTCCACCTAGTAGCTTCTAGCTACTGGGTAAGTGCCGTAACATTTCGGGTGAGATCACCAGGCATCCAGGCATCTCGTTTCATATGTTTCATGTGAAGGGTCAGATCCCCTCGTCCTTGTCATCATGCCGTTTCTCCTACCAAACACGGGCATGAGGCATGTTGTATTTGTTCACCATGTTACCAGTACAGTACGTGAGTGCTCTACATGCCCAGCACAAGCAAAACTACCGTAGATGGACGAAATATTCAAACCCTTCCAACCACGTGGACCCCTCTACCCCAAAGCTCAATGTTAGAGATCTTGCAAGAGTGTTTCGGCGAATGGACGAAACAAATCAAACCCTGGAAAGACAAATTCAATCAAGTTATGGTCAACATTGACCTTTGGGGGTCAGGGGTTGACCACAGTTATTGATACAGGGGTTTGGATATTTGGTCCATCTACTGTAGAATGGTCTGCATCACCAACAGGCCTTTCGGTCTAAAGCAAGGAGAAAAACCGGTCCGGACAAGGTCGGTGCATCTTACAGCTGAGCTACCAAGTGCCACCAGGACAGGAATGCCAGCCGTACTCACTAGGACGACATTCATCAACTGTCGCCGCTGCAAGTCCGGAACGAATCCGTTGTAACTTGCCAGGTTCACCTTTGATTCGCCCGCAGTCATTGTTGCACGTCCAACAAAACTCCATTGCCCCAGAGCCAAAGTTACTGCAATCAGTACCTCAGCATTCTCATGTCAGCTCACGAAAAGGTAAAAATCTCGGATTTCCTTCGACGATCAGCACTGATGACTTAGCATTCCAGCTGACTGAGGTGCCAACTCCAGCCCGCGCAATCTGCACTGAACGAACCGGAAGCATGGCAAAAACGGGTCGGATGTTGTTTGTCTTGCTACTGTTTTCGACCAAAAATGGCTGCTCACACTGCCAGTCAATCACCCCAAGAGCCCTTGGAGTCAGCAGGCCTATCTAATGATCCAATGAAGCTAATCTGAACGTCCAACTTTGAACAACAAAGAACGCTTTACGACAATCAAGTCCAGTCCTATCGCTCACTGGTCCAAGTCCTTCAGAAGTAGACTGAAAACCTGCCAGAAGCCAGTTCAATTGAAGTTCCCTTCTGCACACTAGTAGCAACAAGAAGCTACTAGTATATAACAAGGGCATTACTACTAGTAACAAGAAGCTACTAGTAACAAGGCACCTTACTACTAGTAACAGAAGGGAATTTACACGTGTCTTTGAAGGTTCATGAAAGAACGGATTCAAGTAAATCTTACCAATCAAGGGTTCAATGATTTCGATCTCGTGCGTCAATCATCTTTGTCAAACGCCAAAGGAAGGGAACCACCTTTCCAGTGGTGTCCAACCTGCCTCACAAAGCTGTGCTTGAAGAAAGGGCACCACTTGGCCCTGAGCTGAAGAAAGAGTGTGAGTCTGAATAGATGTGAGGCTAACTTCTCTGGCCAGTATTCCAAGTCATCAGAGCTAAAAACAGACATAGATATGTCCAATGTATATAATTACAGCAAATATATATATATAGTATACCTCTTTTTATTGAATTTGTATGGAGTCTTTGAAGACCAGCTTCCTTCTTGCATTCTAGAAAGGACCAGCTCAAAGATCTCTCGTCATTTTGGAACCAGCACGGAGTATGCGATTGTGCTTCATGAAGAGTTACGCAGCACCTCAGCCTCCGCGTGTGCAGTGCCATCGAAATAGACCTGTGAGGAGAGAAAGGGAACTCCATTTACTTGTCCAACACTGAAACCTTGGTCATTGCAGGACGTTTTGCAAGGCACATGTGGCAGCTCCTCCTTGATTCGAGACAGCCGCCATCAAGCTTGGTTGTGTTCAGCTCAGCCGCACAGGCTGAAGAACGAATACAATATGATTGTGTTTGGGGAAATGAAAAGTGCTGGCCTTAAGGCCTCCTTCTTTTAGCCACTTTGGGCCATCTGGCGACCACAACACCCACAATGTCGCCATCAAATCGGCCGAAGGCTTGTTCTGTACAAGCAGGTTGGTCCCAGCGTTCCATGTATGAGGTCAAACGGACAAAAGCGCTCTTGGGCTGCACTCCAGAGAAGGTGTTCCTTTGAGCAACGCCTTTCTTAGGCGCTGGGAGCCAGTCAAAAGATGTGCACAACGAACTGGGCGTGGGTCAAAAGAATTGGAATCCCGCTTTGAGAGGACCATACCAGTTTCTCAGCTTTCTCAGCTCTCAGCTTTGTGAAATTTCTGACCCATATCCAACGTGGCAAGCTATCCAACGTGGCAAGCTACTCGCATAGCTCATGTAGCAATCTCTGGCTCCGCCACCGGTTTGGTCTTCTCCTCCCATGCTTCTGTCTCTTCACCACTCGTGGCCTCCGTCTCCTTAGGCCAAGGGTCTTAGAAGATGATGCAAACGATTTAGATGAAAACAATCTAGATGGTTTGGTCTTCTGTTTTCTCCATCTTCAAATCCAAGGCTCAGCAGCCTCAACAGCCTCCAAGGCGGCCAAACGCTGTTCTTTCTCTTTCAGTTCTTGTTCTTTGCTGTTGAGCTCCTGCAAAGTCTGCAAAGTGCATGGCAAAATGGATCTTGGACCTTCGTCTTGATCAAGGAATTCAAGGATCGAGTTCAGCTCCAATTCTCATGAACTCTCCTTCTCTTTCTTCTCTACTTCAATCACTTGTTTCCGAAGTTTCTCTTCACTCGCCTGGACGTGAAGCACGACACGGCGTCTCATCTCATGCGGCAGGCTTCGACGGGAAATGGAGAAAAGGTTTCGGACACGAAAGGGAGATGGAAATGGGTCTGAAAATGATGGAACTTGATCCGAAAAAGCTTGAAAGTTTCGAGGCTCCAAGGAGTGCCAGAGGTGTGAGGGGTGTTCAACGAGAAATCACTAGGCTCTCAAACAAAGCAAACAGCAGTCCAGGCCAGCCGCCTGTAGCACCGCATTCCGGGTGTCATGCAGCTCACGTTCTCTCGAGGCCACATCACCTTGTGTATGGCGATCCTGCGGGAAGGAGATGGCTTGTGATTGGACAAACAAGAGCGAGCATGGGATGACGATGACAGTGAAGACACACTTTTCTTGCAACATCGACGCCATAACTTGACTGCTCTACTCCTACCCAGAATGCGCAGGGTGTCCTCGCCAGTCTTGATATTGACCTTTGATGCTTTTGCATCCTGAACGGCTTTCAAAACCAAAACTAAAACCAACCATCGGGTAGGTTTCGGTTCGCAGCTTCGAGTATGAAGGCTTCAGCCAAAAGGAAATAGTCTCTAGGCCAATGCAACATAAAACATATGGCCGCCACTTGTGATACAAGTAAGTCTTGCTTTGATCATCTTCTCGTGCGCTCTCCTTGGGCTTGGATCCCTCGAGGATCTGCGCAGAGATCGTGTCCCCATGCAGTGTGAGGTCCGTGGAGGACGCGAAATCAGCACCATGTTTGTAGATAATTGCCTCGCATTGTGCGATAAGGACAGAGACAGGCAGAAAAATGAGATACCATAAATGTAAAACAATAGCAAAAACTGGCGTCGAGTGCAAAGCTTGGTTGCAGGTTTGGCAGAATGCTTAATTGGATGGTTGCATCGTTTGAGGGATGCAAAACCCTGCTAGAGCTGAATACACACACCCCAGGGTTACATTCATGACGAAATGTACCAACGCGAATATTCCAAGTGTAGCTGGAGGCGCTGTGCAGCGTTCCAGAATTGATTGTTCCACAGAGATGTAGTGAGACAGTTTGATGTCCTGCTCAGTGGACTTGGTGTAACCTTGGCGTCGAGAGAGGTAGAATGCTTTTATCTACAGGGTAGGTAGTGAGTTAAATCCACCAAGCAGCAAGACAGCCAAATCAGCGCAAAATAATCACCAACCTGCCAGATAAAGCATCGGGTAGCGTCGAGTCTCGGCAAAGAAACTGCACCGCTGAAAGAAGTTAAGTTGAAGATGTTGAAACCTGACTGCTCACCAAATTATGCAGCCGACCTCGCGCCATCCGACCAAGCGGTGAGTGATGCCATCAATCTGCGGATGGTTTTTGATTGTCTCTTCGATCTCTTTGACAATGGCTGGGATCTGCCAGAGGCACGACTCATAGAAATGCAAAGGCAAAAAATCAAAGAAAACCTGACCTGGCACCTTCTGATGCAAGAGTGAGCCCTCCCACAGTGCAAGGCTCATGTTTTTGGAGGAAAAATGAAACCGACAGAACCTTGTGGGTGACAGCGTTAGAGGCATTAGAGTACTTTGAGCTTACTTTGAGCCATGCATGAACCATGAATCACTTCCCCGCACATTTGGGCCACTGAAACCTTGAAGCTGCGACGGAGAGGTTGATGTTCATCATCATCATCATCATCATCATCATCGTCGTCCTCATCGTCATCGTCATCGTCATCGTCATCATCACCTGTCCTGGCCTAGGTGGTGCTGGCTGTTTTTGGTTCCCCTTTCAAGTGCTTGAAGGAGAGGGGAGGCATGAGAACAGAATGGGTAGGCATCACACACGAAACGTTACTACATCACATCTTCGTGTCTTCAAAATTTGCACCACACCACAAGATTGGAGTGATTTCGGCACTTTGCGACATCCAACGCCGCGAACGCCGCGAACGCCGCGAACGCCAATCCGGCACAGCGAAGGAAAGTGAGGATCGAAGAAACGCTGCACCTGCACACAGTAGTAACAAGAAGCTACTAGGAACAAGTGCATCGCTTCTAGTAACAAGTGCCTTACTAGTAGTAACAAGAAGCTACTAAGCTACTAGGCTTCCATCCAAAAACCTCCTTCCCCCGCAGGGCCTTATCCAACCACATTCGGACTGTTGCAGTCCAGTCGGTTGGGGACGGTTGGGAACATAAAAGCAACGTCACGCGAACACTGCCACAGATAACCGGGAACCCTTCGCTACGCACTCGGGAAAAGAAATGAAGAGAACACACGCCTTAGGAATGTCCTGAAGCCGCACTTTGAAGTCAAACCTGATGCGCCGGTTGGTCATCCTGGAGTTGTTCTGCACCAGCATCTGCACAATGCCTTAGTAGTAGCTTTCTTGTTACTAGTAGCTACTTGCTCCTAGGAGTACGGCCAGGAGCCCCTAATAGCGTCCTTGCTCCTAGTAGCGATGCCAGGAGCCCCTAGTAGCTTTCTTGTTACTAGTGAGCGTCCACTGTTTCTGGATTAAAACATCATGCCGACATGACCACACCGAGGTGCGAAAGTTGGGAACGTAGAGCGGGCGCTTGTCCCATTGGATGACTTTCCTAAGACACGCATCAGAAGCATCTTAGAGACTTCATCTGTGACCAAAATTAAGTCACCTGAGTAACCAAAATCTGCTGCGTGAGGAACCTGAAAAAAGACCTTTCCCTCCAAAGCCACCCGGTTCGCCTTTTGAAGGTCAAGGTTCGTGTAGAAAAGCCCAATCTCCTCTGCCCAGCCATCCTGGCCCTGCTCCAAGGTGATCCAGTCCCCTTGAGCAAAGGGCTGTGTGAGGTAGATCACCAGGCAGCTCAGCATGTTGGAGAGCACATCCCTGACGCACTTGCGCCATTTCGTCTGTGGCTGCCCTTTTGGGCAAGCGCAAGTTGCAACTTGCACTGTCATCACTGAAGACTGAAATAGATTGAAACAGGGTGTGTTGAAACTGAGAAAACTGGTGATGTTGTCTTCATAGTTCACCCCTCAAAGAGCTCGTGTTTGCACACAAGTCAGGCCAAATATGGCCGAAATGGTTTGTCTGAAACACAACGTCAAAGCCTGATCTTATTAAGTAGATAACGAGTAAAGCGTGAGAAATCATCGGCGCTGCCTGCCCACGAAACCCAAGAGCAATGCACCCACTGAAGTGGACAAAAGAAGACGGCCCACTTTGATGCCGCAAATGGCTAAGACCCAGATCCACCTGAAGTAAATGATTCTTGTCATGGCAGGCAGAACGAAGCGATGAATGTTGTTCTGAAGAGTCTCATGGCATTTTCACTTTCGCACTGCACCTCCTTGGCACTTAGGGTCCGGGCCAGCTACAAAGTACCAAGGTCTGCATGAGGATGGTTAAGGCGCTTAATCGAGCTTCTCGTTGTGAGGATTGGACGCCCAAGACATCCGAGATGACGGCCTACAAGGAGAAGCACTGCATGGAGTGCCCTTCCTATCTATTGGAATGGGGTCTTGAACACTGAGGCTCGCACCGCCCGACGGTCTTGCTCTCCGTGCCCTAAGAGAGACTTAACATCTTCTGACCTAAATGGGTTCGTAAAAGAGAACAGAAAGAAAGAAAAATATGAAAAAGGAAGCTAAGGCCCCCTCAGAAGGTTGGCCGCTCTAAGGGGGCCTTACCTGCTATGTTCATCTATCTACCCAAAGTAACTTTCATGTTCTTTTGTAGATGTAGAACTTTGGGAACAGCTTTACATCAGCGTTCCGTTGTCACATGGTTCCCACGTGAGGCGAAGCTAAGTGCCATGGTCGTGTCTGTCTGTCCTGCCTTGCCACGGGAGCGCCGCTCTTTCCAGCGTGAGGAGAGCCGGAACAGCGCTAAGGACACACAGCTGGACGTCAAAAGCCACCGCAGCCGTGACATGAACTTGATGATCCTCCCATAGCCGAAAGGACAAGTGGGCTCAAAACAAAGTTACAGGAAGTAAACAAGTTTTGGACAGCTGATTAAGACGTCTCAAGTGAACCTTTGGTTGAGAACAAACCAACTGACTCGCTCGCCATGATTAGGTCCAGTCTAGAAAGCATGTTGCTGCAGTATTCTGCTGCAAATGCTCCTGATCCTGCTCTTGTTGCTGTTGCTGCTGGCATCTGCTAGCCTTCCTGCTACCTGTTGATGTATTCGTTGTTATTGCTCTTTGCGAATATGCGCGCAATCTGTCAACGCCATCACCCTTTTGGTGGCTTATCTATTCCACCGAGCAAACTCGCCCTTTCTAGCTTCTCTCAATCTAGACTGGGCCTGTTGGAGAGAGACTTGGTCGAGGCTTTGCGCAGAAAGATCCACTCAAAGGCTTCCAGGATCAAAAAACAGGTCGCCCAGGCCACCACTGGGCGCTCCACAGCCTGCAGAGAGCACATGGCCAGCCAGAAGGTGCTAAAAAGACATGATAAGTGATGGTGGCGTCCATCGCGTCTCTGGTGGATTTTGGGAGATATGAGGGATACGAGGCGGTCATTCGGATGATTGTGTGACTGTAATGCCTGCAAGAACTCGCATTCGTCATGCATCCTTTACAGCAAAAGAACAAACGGTGAAGAGTGCAATCAGAGTGCAGAGCAAAAGAGTGTGCCTTGCACCACCACAATGTGAAAAAGCAGAGTGTGCCTATTGCGGTTCCAAGATGTGACAAGAGTACTCTGCCTGCACATAGGAGTCCGAATACTCAATGATGGAGGGGGCTGTTGGAGGCAGAAGGCGCACCTCTCTCAAGAAAGTCGATTCGACAATGACCAGACTCCTCAAACCGTTTTCCTTCGAAATTAATCTAGTAACCAAATGAATAGTGCGAGGGCTTCTTCAAGGAAGCTGCCCGCTTCCTTGAAGCGTGAGCTGCCCCTGCGTCCTACACAGCTAGTAGCAGGTTACCTAGAGTTTGTTTAGCCAGAGCGGGCCAAAAAAAGAAACTGCTTTGTGAATGGCAAGATCCAGTTCTTCTGCCTGCAGAGGGAGTGTGGGCCGGCGAATCCTTAGAGCAGTGCACTCTTTGGACTTCAAAACGGTGGAATCCTAAGCGGATTTGAAAGGACCATAGATTAGGTTTCTTGAAGAAAAAAGCAGGTGCTTTCGTGCAGGCAGTGCAGGCTGAACATCTACGTTCACCAACTTGTTCGCTGGATCCCCACACTTTTGCAAGAGCCAAGAAATGGCCCAAGGCTCTTGACAAGTCCTGCATTCTTTTGCACCTTCCACTTCCCATCCACATTCAGCTCCTGCAAGGCCAACACGACCAGCTCGACGAACTGACGAACTGAATCGTCATTCATGCGCGGAGTGCCTTTCCTGTCTATATAATTATGCAAAAACAATCAAAGCTCAAGAAAGGGAGGGTATGCTACCGGGTAGGCCATGAGGAGGGAGTAAATAACTGTATTAAAAAAAAACCTAGACCTAGATGTACAGTACATAGTAAGCTTGTTCGGAATCCTGAAGCTACTGGAAGCGCAGGTTCTTGATTCTTGATCCAAACGCTTCCGGAGCTCCGGACACAAATAACTCTGTCTCCTGCCAGTTGAGTTGGGGTGCTTCCATGATGTGAGCGCCCACGGGCGATACAAGGAGGGCACCAAGACGCTTCAGAGGCCAACCTGGACGGGAGCATCTGACAGGTTCCAGGGCCTTTAAGTTCTTGTGTCCGATACTGTCTCAGATGTATCGGACACCTTCCACCGGTATTGACTACCACACAGAAAGGCCCAAATCTCGTCCTTCCGGGAGCAAAAAAAGGTCTCTGGGTGCAAATGGAGTCTCTGGGTGGTGCCATTTGGATTCCGGCGGCGAATGCTGGGTGCGGATGGAGTCTCCGGCCTTCGGGCGGCGTGCCCTGATTCTTGGCCTGCTGAAACTTCTCATCGGGGCTCACCTCAAAAAAAAACACACAGTTCCGGTTCTTCCGAAGCGTTGCGTCTCTGACGCGTCAGGGGCCGCAACGTTTTCCTTCGTCAGTTGTCGATTGGTTTAGGGGGACCTGTGGCCCCTTCGAGTGGCTTCTCAAGCTTAAACCCACAAGCTTGATTGGCTGTCCTTCAAGCTTGAACCCATGAATGGCGATCCTGGATGGCAATCAGTGCCGAGTCACAATCCACACCTTGCCTTCGGCAGTGGCTGCACAGCTCAGAAGGAACTCCTGGCACGTGCATGTGTCCAGCTGCACGTGCTGCAAGCAGAAACTGTCGAAAAGCTCGTCCAGCTCTAGGAACCCTGTGGCTTTTGAAGGTACGAAGGTCAAGATTGGTGGTTTCAAAAGGCTTCACAAGAGAGCCTCAAGCACAATCTGTGGAAAGGTGCCTTGTTTCGAGACTGATACACAGGGTGTCCATGTTGTAGACCTTCAGACTTGCAAAGGAGAAACCTCGGTTTGGTCGAAAAGCTACTTCGGGCTGTGCCAACAATTGATTAGTGAGATGATTGTGTGTCTCTTGCTCATAGCAAAGACAGTCTGTTCACCATTCAAGTGATGCTTTCTCCCTTTGCATAAGACAAGTGCGCTTGTCTCTTGTCGCTTTTGCGTTCGGGGGATGCCATTGGATGGTGCCATTGTTCAAAACAGCTTATCACAAATCAAGACTGACCAGCATGTATTACTATGTGTGTATGCATATGTGATCATATATGTATATATAATTGGGTATAGTACACTGCCAAGCCACTGTGTGTTGAGTGCTTGGTTTTCGAAGCCACCTGCAATACAAATCTTCAGACACGAAAGCACAGCAAAACTATATATTTCGTTGTGTGGTGACAAACCAGCTTCAAGAAATGCTGGCCTGCAACTCTCACTTGCAATTCAGATGGTAGAACGCAAAAAAGGACTTGGACTCTGACGGTGGTCATGCATTCTTGAGGAGATCCATACTGGCAAAACGTCTCTGTTGATGTTCGGGGTGTCTCACCTGTCCCAAAACACTCAAGCTCCCTGAGGCCCGACCTAGTTCCAGGACATCTCCGACATAGGTCGGCGAAACCAGCCGTGCTCCCTGGCGAAGCCATCCGCCACCTGGCCCGCGGTTGAGCAGTGTGGAGTCCGTCTTCGATGTCATGTTGCTATCTAGAATCTAGAAAAACTTGATACAAAAGAACCTCTTGAACATGACCCGTGTTGAAGGGAGTAGGAAGCTTTACGGCTGTGACCATCACTGGAGGACATCTCATCTCTCTGAACATGAAGTTTTGTCTGTCCAAGACCCGGCCTGACAGACGAATCGTCTTCTGAAGAACCTTGCGGGGAACTCCGAACTGTTTCCTACTCCATGTTTGTAGAGAATTGACTGTTTCTTTTATTCTTATTGTTTTTCTTTTTGGCCCGCTATCGCTCTCCCACCTCCCCCCTCCCTACTGATTTTTATGTGGAGACTACCTACTTAATCAAGTACGGGAGTATGCTAACTAGCTAGTACCTTACTAGTACGCCACTAGGAACTGGACGCAGGATAGCTCACACTTCTTCAAGGAAGCGCTCGCACTATTCATTTGGTTCCTAGATTTTTTGGAAACTTAATGTCCTACTCCACATTTGTAGAAATAACTGCCTTTTTTAGCCCACTCACTCTGCCCCCTCCCTACTTAATTAAGTAAGAGACTGAGCTAATTAGTTTCTATCTTATTAGTACGCAACTAGGAACTGGACGCAGCTACACGCTTCTATTCATTTGGTTCCTAGATTTTTAGGGAAACTTAAGCTCCTACTCCACAAGTAGAAATAACAACAGAATAGCAATCAAATTGTTTGAGCAATGAGCTCAATCGTTGCCTTCCTTCTAGAAACTAGAGTGTCCTCTCAAGCCTTCACAAACTATCACTGCTGTACCCATCCAAAAGACCTTGACCTTGAGATCATAAGTTCCTGCCACACCCACGTCGTGTAGTGCGACAGCTGTCCTGGTTGGGATCCATTGCGTCGATCAGAAGTGCTACATCCTCTTGGCTGCGAAGCCTCCCGAACAGCAACTGAAGAAGCAAACCGTTTGCATTTCACGCACTACAAACACAATGACACCGCATGACACCTGATGACACCGCATGACACCTGTATCATTCTACTCATCAGCCACTGCCACTTGTTTCTGTCTATTCTTGTACCTCTCCGGGTCTCCCTTTCCACATTGGTTCACAACTTACAGCTTCGAGGCCCAGCCCATCCCTGCAACCAAACCTTCTGCAGTAGGTCGTCAGCCACCGCCGCCATTGTTGACTGGCCATGACCAACCGTTTGACCAGCTGGAACCTGCCGGCAGACTTGTGCTTCCAAAACATGCGAAGTGCCGATGCTGGCAACTTGAGCAGAGCACGGTTTGAAAGTACTGCACTCAAGGAGGCTCCCTCTCGGAAGGATTCGGAACCGGGAGAATGCAGGGCTTCCAGCATGTCTCTCCTATCAATCCATCGTGCCTTACCAGGATAAGGAGAATGGCAGAGAACCAAAAGTCATCAACAGGCAGTGACAGGAACCGCAGCAAGCCCATGAAGGTTTCCCGCTCTTGTCGCGGCAGCTGGTTCCTGAAGCAGTGAAGCAGTCAACTTCGACAGTGGACGCTGCTCATACAGTGGGCCGATATCGCTAGGTGGCCAACATTCCCTTGCATTTGCAAGTTTCAATTCCACGATTGTTCAACACAAATCTTTCAGCCTCACTGGAAGGATCAAGGAAGCAAAGGGTGATGAAAAATAGAACTAAAGAAAAACTAAAAACACCTCCTCAGAAAATCCAAATCATTGAGAAGTAAGAGCCCCTATAAGCTTTCAGCTCTCTGGCTATCTGAAAAAGCAACTCCTTGAAAAAACAAAAACGCCCTGAAAACCAACACATCCATCCCAGGGACACCAACGGTTCCACGATGCCGATGCTGGCGGGATCCCCCGAAGTGGCCCGCCGCGCGGATCTCCCGTGCGGAGGATCCCGTGCGGGGCCCAGGAGCTGCCACACCTGACGGGCAGACGAGTGGCGGGACCCAAACGGGGTTCCAAAATCCAACCTACTAGCGTCCTTGCTACTAGTAGCGATGCCCTTTGTTACTAGTAGATTCTTGCTACTAGTAGTGATGCCAGGAGCTACTACTAGCGTCCTTGCTACTAGTAGCGATGCACCTAGCAACTTTAGTAGCTTCTTGTTGTTCAGCTGTTTTTGTGTTTGTCTTTTTTTGCAAATCACCTGGGGCGGTCATGGTGAGGCTTTTCAGGTCGGAATCACAGCAGTCGGTGTCATCGACTCTCTGGTCCCGTTCTGTGCTCAATGTCTGACAAATGGAGTTCTGATCAGAAATAGAACATGTTCTGGTAATTCAGCTGCAAATGTTCATTTACAAAGAGGCCGTGTCCTGGTTTGCAGCAAAGAACTGAGCGCTCTTCCAGGACACGGCATCTTTACTGCCGTGGCCTCGCCCATTTGGCACAGGAGAAGAGCCATCGGCAGTAGAACTTTGCTCCGCCGATGCCATGTCATCCCAGCCATCCCCGGCTTGTCTCCAGGACTCCAGGTGTTGTCCGACTTTCCAACTCACTGTGTTTCCAAAAGGACCAACATGGTTCTTTCACCCAAACGCTTACAGCAAGTGTTGTCGTGGCTCAGATCGAGCTCCAAAAGGAAAAACCTATCGCTCAAACTAAACGAAGATCAGACCTCTCCGCAGTGACATACTGCAGTGACACACTGCGGTATGTAGATTTTCCTCCTGTCCTTTCAAGTGAATTGTCTGGCATGTCACAATGAATTCCTTGAGGTGGCGCGGTGTAAGAGCGTGTGCTTCCGGCATCTTTGGATTCAATCCAGCTTCACTGCAAAATGGTCGAAAACGAACTTCATGATGCTTCACTGCTCTCCATATCTGGATGTTTATCACTTTCTCTACATGTACAAAATTACAAAATTGTTTTGTTCTGGTTTATCACTTTCTCAGCACTCCTTCTTCACACCTCAAAATCTATGAAGTCATCCAGGTCCGAAGCACCAGGCCTTGGAGGGTGGCGAGCGACTTGAAAAGAACGAGCAGAGTTCTATCCGACTGGTGGTGTTTGCTGCTTTGGACCTCTTGGAAAACGACCTTTAGGTTTTTTGCTTGAACACGAATGACTAGAGCATGAGCCAATTGAATGTTCATAGCTGGAGACATAGCAAGCGTACATAGGTGTAATTTACTTGCCCACCTGAGCTAGTGTAAAGAGATACTCCAACATGGGCCTTACCCTGCTGATCTTATTGAAATCTATAGTCACAGGACAAACAAACATCACTCCTTTCGCAGTTCTTGAAATCCTGAACTCTGATCACGTGGGCACAGCCAACGACCTCCGTATGGAGGCCCAGCAGCTCATCCAACAGAAGCATGGGCACCCGACTGTCGCCCAAGAGCCAAACTAAGCAAGTCCTCAGATGCGAAAAGAAGGAACACTGCTTGTTGTGCCAAGTCTACTGTCTTTGACACAGTAGTAACTATCTTTCTCCCCAATTGAACCTGTCAAGCATATCCAATATCCTGCTTCATAGCAAATGAAAATACACATTTGACACGATCGATGACTCCAAAAAGGAAAGGAAACCACGGATATCAAAAACTTCCAAATTATCGTGAAAAAACAAAAACAATTCATTTAAGCGGTCAACCTTATGTAGAAAATAGTGCTTTGATGGCTTCAACTCAGCTAATTGTCAAACCGCTCCATTGTTCAAACAAGCCACAGCACCCTGCGAGGCATCAAAATCTTCCTCCATGTTCCAGCACAAAGAAGATTGCAGCTCAAAACTGGCAATTATATGGCTTGGGTTGCGAAGGGCTATGCCTTATGCGATGCGTGCTTGCAATGTGGGGGGGGGCACTACATCCAAGCATTATTCTAAAAGCTGCAGCTACATTGATTCTCCATAGCGAGCTACGAGTGAGTTGTTTTCATCAATACTCTGACCAGTACAACGCAAATGTTAGGCATTAAGGTTGATTAATGATTGGGACCATCTCTTCGAGCTTGAGACATTTACAGAACAAAACTTGAGAGTGACAATGACCTGCAAAGCGTCGTTCAATCACATTTCAACCCGAGGTCTTTCTTTCAGCATCGGCAAACGTCCCTCCAAGCGTTCTTGGCAAGTTCTCTCCCAAACAAGAGAAGAACGGTCCCATCACGACGACCCACCCTTGAGGCATCCCTCTGGCCAGCCCCACTCGATCTCACTTCTTTTCTCCTCCCTCCGTGGAAGCGACTTCTACGGCGCCCGGAAGCGATCCCCGGTGATCCACACGGTGTGCTCCGAGGACTTCACCACCTCCTGAAGGGGGCGATCGGTCGGCAGCGAGCTGCCAAGGGCCGGGCAGGGCGGAAACTGAAAGAAGACCGTTCATCAAAGGCCGGGGGGGGTAGGAAGCTACTAGGAACAAGTGCCTTACTATAGTACGCGAATTTATTATAGAAGATGATATTAACACATTTTCAAACAGAAGTCTGCATATTCCTCCCGTGGCAGGGTTCCGGGACAAATAGAAGAAAGGCGTCAAGATAACAGGTTGATAAACGTGCTCACCAACAGGTCTTCAAATAGAAGAAATCGTATTTTTGGCACAAAATGCACATGAGCCGCCCGCTCTCTTTCCCTTGCGCTCTCACTCTTTCTCGCTCTCTCCCTCCCTCCCTCCCTCCCTGGAGAAGAGACAGTTCTGCAAGGAAGCTCCCGGTGAACCAGCTCACAGCGCCGGGCCGAGCGATGGACCCGTTACGGGGAATAGACACAGAGAGCGCAGCCCTCCAAAAAGGTTTAAAAAAATGCTTTAAAATTGCTGCGTTTTTTTGAGCTCAGAGACGTCACCGGGTCGCATCCCGACCCGACAGAGACCCGACAGAGACTTGTTTGAAGAAAAATTGTAAACATTGAGTACAATTTTTAGAAAATTGAGGAGAAAAAGTGTAGAAAAAGACAAGTGCCCTGGAAGAGCCTTTTTTGAGCTTGAAAAGGTTTGCTAAAGAACCTAAAAAGTGTAGAAAAAGTAGCTAGTTATTTTTTAAAGTAGCCAGTTCCTGTCTCCTTTCTCCTTTCGGCCTGGAAGACCAGGGCCTTCCCTTCCCTTTCCACCGTTCCTTCCTTCTCTTTACCTTTACCTTCCTTTCCTTTACCTCCTTCCCCCTTCCCCCTTCTCAGATTCTCCCTTCCCTTCTGCTTCTCCCCCTGCCTTCCTCCTTCCCCCTTTCCCCACCCTTTCTCCTTTCCCTTCCCTTCTCTTCTTTGCATTTTTTGTATCTTCTATTTGAAGTGGCTTGGGCCTGGAAGACCAGGGCCTTCCCCTTCCCTTTCCACCTTTCCTTCCTTCTCTATACCTTTACCTTCCTTTCCTTTACCTCCTTCCCCCTCCCCTTCTCAGATTCTCCCTTTCCTTCTGCTTCTTTCCTCCTGCCTTCCTCCTTCCCCCTTTCCCCACCCTTTCTCCGTTCCCTTCCCTTCTCTTGCTTTTCTTTGCCATTTTGTATCTTCTATTTGAAGTGGCTCGGGCCTGGAAGACCAGGACCTTCCCCTTCCCTTTCCACCTTTCCTTCCTTCTCTTTACCTTTACCTTCCTTTCCTTTACCTCCTTCCCCCTTCCCCGGTCTTAGATTCTCCCTTCCCTTCTGCTTCTTTCCCCCTGCCTTCCTCCTTCCCCCTATCCCCTTTCTCCTTTCCCTTCCCTTCTTTTCCTCTTCTTTGTCTTTTTTTGTATCTTCTATGTGAAGTGGCTCGGGCCTGGAAGACCAGGACCTTCCCCTTCCCTTTCCACCTTTCCTTCCTTCTCTTTACCCTTACCTTCCTTTCCTTTACCTCCTTCCCCCTTCCCCCTTCTCAGATGCTCCCTTCCCTTCTGCTTCTTCCTCCCTGCCTTCCTCCTTCCCCCCTTCCCCACCCTTTCTCCGTTCCCTTCCCTTCTCTTCCTCTTCTTTGTCTTTTTTTGTATCTTCTATTTGAAGTGGCTCGGGCCTGGAAGACCAGGTCCTTCCCCTTCCCTTTCCACCTTTCCTTCCTTCTCTTTACCTTTACCTTCCTTTCCTTTACCTCCTTCCCCCTTCCCCCGTCTCAGATTCTCCCTTCCCTTCTGCTTCTTTCCCCCTGCCTCCTCCTTCCCCCTTTCCCCACCCTTTCTCCTTTCCCTTCCTTTCTCTTCCTCTTCTTTGCATTCGTTTGTATCTTCTATTTAAAGTGGCTCGGGCCTGGAAGACCAGGACCTTCCCCTTCCCTTTCCACCAGTCCTTCCTTCTCTTTACCTTTATCTTCCTTCCCTTTACCTCCTTCCCCCTTCCCCCTCCTCAGATTCTCCCTTCCCTTCTGCTTCTTTCCCCACCCTTTCTCCTTTCCCTTCCCTTCTCTTCCTCTTCTTTGCTTTTTTTGTATCTTCTATTTGAAGTGGCTCGGGCCTGGAAGACCAGGGCCGTCCCCTTCCCTTTCCACCTTTCCTTCCTTCTCTTTACCTTTACCTTCCTTTCCTTTACCTCCTTCCGCCTCCCCTCTCAGATTCTCCCTTCCCTTCTGCTTCTTTCCGCCTGCCTTCCTCCTTCGGGCCTGGAAGACCAGGGCCTTCCCCTTCCCTTTCCACCTTTCCTTCCTTCTCTTTACCGTTACCTTCCTTTCCTTTACCTCCTTCCCCCTTCTCCCTTCTCAGATTCTCCCTTCCCTTCTGCTTCTTTCCCCCTGCCTTCCTCCTTCC